TGAATATAAATATATTTTATTATTATTAAAATAAATCGAAGATCTCTGGAGTTTAATATAGTAACCTTCGCTCCGGAGTCTTTTAATGACGACGGAGGTCCTCCAGAGGTCTACGCCTGAAGATCTTCGGAGATCTTTGCTAAAAAATTTCCTGATGTGATCAATTCGAATGGTAAAACTCTACACGTTTATTCTTACATTTCAATATGCCACATTAGCCAATAAAATTCGATAACATGATAAAGGTCATGTGAGAATCGTCATTTGAAATTTCAAACTTTTGATGATTATAGATGTTATGCACCATATAAAAATTTTTTTTGATTGATTCTATAAATATGTAGATTTTTATAGAGCTCAAAAAATTCTGTATTAAATATCAAACTACAATTGAATGGCTTTATTTTTATATATTATTTATAGGTATTTGCTAATTAAATCAAAAACTTTAATATAGAACGAAAATTTTGATTTTTACTATGTTTTACTAAGTAATTTGATCAACGTCCGGTGATTTTTGGCAGGGAAGTGTATATTATTAAACCTTAAAATTCTATTAATGAATGCTAGTATATATGTTTATAATTATAATTGTAAAACATTATATTATACCTTTTTAAACGCAAAATATACATAGAACTCACCGACCCGGAATATACAGTTAGAGCAACTATCATCCATTCCTAAAAATAAAAAATGAAAGCGATAATTTCAATCGTTCAATATAAAAATGTTACAGATCTGTTTAAACTATGCGGATTGTCGATCAACTGTGTGATCAAACAGTTGTACATCCAGATTTGAACAGTTCGAACAAATCACACTTCTACAATACAGAAATCATCATAAATTCATTTATCGCGGAAGTCTCGATAACAGTCAAGAAAACTGGATTATTTTGCAACATGTTTGGTATTATAAAGTCGCAATTGTTACATGACCTAATTGCTTACGTTCACACTAATATTTTACTTTTTTTTTTTATCAAGTGAGGTCCGAGGAGTTGGTGTAGTTCCTGCAAGTGGTAACCGAACACCAGTATTATTTCTTTGAAAGATTTGGGCCTCGAGTTCGTCGCTTTCTATTTTTTCAATTATGTGGATGATCTCTCGAATTGCATTCTACAAGATATCAAAGCAGGTAAATACAAAGGTATTAGAAATATACAGCTCAGCACTAAGGTATTACCTTCAATTCCAACATTGTAACTATAGACAAAATTAATTCGCAAATGCCTTCGATATATATAGGAGTTTCTAATTGTGCTTTCTTAGTCAATCGCGCAATAACTCCTCCAGGGCGATCCATAATGTAGATAGCGCCTTTATTTTCTACGTAATTATAAAATTAATGACAAAGCCGATCAATGTATCATAATATAGATAATGTTCACTTACTAAAAAGTTGTATTCCAAATGTACATAGACTCTCATAATTTTCGATTGTAGTTGACGGAAGTGATTCAATTATTAAATCGATCATATCTTTCATAAGTTTTAATAGTTTCATTCTATCTCCTAAATATTTTTTATCGTGAATATCACCCGTTCTAGCAACCTCACTAGCTAGTATTTCTCTTGAACTATTACAAAGTTTTAGTAATATGTCGATCTTCCTGCCCTAATATTATTAAAAAAGAAATTAATTCGAACTATCTATATGTATAATATTACAGTTTTAAAGGCGCATTACACGGATAACGGATTTTCCTATTTCTTTTTTTGTTTTTGCGCATTTTTGATGCATACGAACCACCATCTGATCTATAAAAATGAAAAATATGTACTTAACCGCTAATATTAAATATAATAACAATTTTTTGTTTGAACACTGATGACATACTTTCCAATTCTTGTTTCTTCAATGTCCTTTAATGCCATATCGACAATAAAAGTCCATACGTGACTCACAATCCATGCTTCCAAATTATCACCTGCTAACGCATTCACGCCTTGTTACCATTCAATAACACTGTATCAATAAAGAAAAAAAATCAGTCGCGAATTAAAAATATTATATAAATGATGAACGTTAACTCACAATTTATTGAATACTAAGTGAATTCACTCCAGATCATAGTGTAACTTTGGATTATAGATCTCCCCGTTTTTCAAATATGGTTCCATGACGATTTGTCGAAGTTCGCCGACATTTTTCTATAAGATTTAGAATATTTATGAATAAATGTCTCAATTCGGTCAACCTTTATCAAACAGAATACCTTGTAATATTTCATGGCATATTTTTTGATATCACCTTGTACGGCCGGAAAAGACTTTTTATTAGTATTTAAAATTGTCTCTTTTTCCTCAGAACTAAACAGATCCATAACTTCCTGACATTCAGTATCCAATATAAAAGAATGCGCGAGTCTTAATAAAATATTTAGACAAAGAAATGATTAGTCATTATTTAGTAACCAATATGATCAATGCAATGGATGTAGTATATCTACGTTTCAGAACGGTGAGTCACTGCCCAATCAAATAAAACATCTTCTACAAATCTACCCGAAGGAAGTTTCCACTTGTCATCTGCACTTATCGCCTCAAATCTCAAAATAAAATCCTTAATCAACTTTTTCTCCAACTTCTTTTTCTTCCTGGCCTTCTTATCTTTGTCATCATCTCCTTCGACATTCTCACCTTCATTCTCGTCGGCATCTTCGTCGACATCCTCATCTTCATCGACATCCTCGTCTTCATCTTCTTCGTGGTTATCGATTTCACCATATTCATCATCATAAACCTAAATGTTGGAAAATTAGAGGTAGCGAAACAGAAAATATTGACTAACAGCATTTTACATACATTAGAATCTTCGTCTGATATTTCTTCATAAGTTCACTTGCTAACATTATTCACTCTATTTGATTTTTCATTGTAATTTACCTTTTTTATCTTTCTCGGTGTCCTTCTAGGTGGAGAATTCTCTTGTTCGTTAATAGTTCCAACTTTTTCCCCATTTATTGTTCCATTTACAGTCCCATTTACGGTTCCGTATATTAGTTGGTGTAGGTGAACTTGTTTGCGTACACGTTCTCTTTCCCACGATCTTGCAATTTTCTGATCCAGCTTAGTATTCTAATATAGATTTAGAATTAGTAAAATTCTTGCTCATATATCAATTTCTACGACATATGAGTATCGGGTAACCAAGGAGGCCACCCGATCCCAATGGGTCCAATGTTAGATCAGCAAAGAGCCTTGAACATCAAATAACCAAAGAGGCTATTTGAGTTCTAACATTGGTTTGTAACTCAGCAAAGAGCCTTGAATGACAAGGAACCAAAGAGGCCAATGTCACGTCACTATTTTTATATATACTAAAAAAATCTTTACGTGCCTCACGGTATCTGTCAATAAGTTGATTTGCTTTTCTTTTTCTCATTCCTTTCTCCGTTTTAATCTTTTGGAGGCTTTTAAGATATTCATCTATTTTTCTATCGAATGGATCCAAATCACATTCATTTAAAAACTCGAGTATGTTCCAGTCATTATATTTGCGATCGAAGTATTTATGTATTTTGGACATCGCGAACAGAACTGTAATGCATAAATCAATTACTATATCTGGTGAATTCCTAACTGTATTAACGCATTTGTTAGGTAAAAATTATTAGATACGCATTAATTTTTAACATTTTAATTAATAGTAAATTAAAAAATAAAAAAAATTTTTTATAAAAAAGATATAATATTATTGTTATTATTAATTAATTTTTAGATTTATTTTATTTAAATTTACAAAATTATTTTAAAAAAGTAAAAAATCTATAAATTAAACTATCAAAAAAGTTTTTTTTTGCATAGGAAAATATTATTACTTTATTAATATAGTGGCTGTCATTTATAAATCAAAAATGAAACAATAAAATATAAATTAAAATCAATAAATTAATAAATTAAAACAAATTAAATATTTTTATTGATTTAGATTTATAAAAGATTATGTAAAAATTTTTTTAAAATGTTAAGTAAGACATTTTTCTTGATCTTTATTAATTAAATAAAATATTACATAATTAATGTTTAAATTGTAAGATACATTGCTATACATGTTAGCCTATTATCAAATAGATATATTTTAAAAAAAAAAAACCTTTTTGAGAAAGGAAAATAAAAGAAACTATTTATGTTTGAAGGGCTAATGCCTTCTTAATGATTTATTCTATTATGGAAAGACATTGATAGATTTTCGAAAAAAGATTGAATAATAATATTAATGTGATTATTTGATTGTGGATTGAGAGATATATTTGCTAATAGAGTTTTTCTTTTTGTTTTGTTATTTTTTATATATAGTTATTTATTTTTCTTATGTTTGTCTGCTTGAGTGATATTATATATTTCTTCTTTTTCATTCATACTTTTGTTTCAGAGAATTCATATTTCTTGGTAAATTAAGTTAAGAAAATTATTTTAGAGTTTATTTAGAATTTTTAAATCTTTTAAGATTGGTTTAAGATTTGTAAAAAAGGAGTTGATATTTATGAGGCCAAGAGTTAAATTTATACAGGTAAGTGGTGAGTTAATAAGTTATTAAAAAGATTTTGAATTGAAGTTTTTGTTATTTTTGAAGAAAATGGTAACTTGTGCTTTAATATTTTTAATTATTTAAATTATATCCAGATTGCTCTTTTTACAAAGCCAAATATAATGTGTAATTTCTGGAGCAGTATTATATTGAAGACAGATTATTGGTATAGAGATGAGGTAAGGTAAAATATAAATAAGACTTGGTTGATAATATGTTGGAAAGAATTTTGAAACAAAAGTTATATAGATTAGATTAAGATTGAATAGTTAGTAAGGAATTTTTTTTAAAAAAGGTAAGTATATATTATAAAAGGAAGAAGTCGGGTTTAAAAGTAGTTTTTGCTCTTTCAGAATAAATTATATTGATTAATCTGATTGTTTTATTTATTTTTTTAATATGATCTCATGTAAAGGAAAGTGGATTATTTTATATATTTAATAAGATATATAATAAAGAAAATGGATTAGTTATATTGAGTTGAAAAATGATTATAATGTGGGATTAAAGTTTTTCCATTGCTGAAGTAGGTTTATAAAAGAAATAGAATATTTGTAATATTTGAATAATGTTGTAAATGTTACTAATAATAGTGATATAAGGTAATTTACATTTTTTTAGTGATTGAAAGATAATGGAAGCAAGAGTTTGTTAAATATTTTTATGTATTTGCAAAAAATTATTATTTGTTTTGTTTTGTTAGTAAAAAGAATAAGTATTAAAAAAAAATATAGAGATAAAAGAGAAGAAAAAGAAAATTTAGTTGTATAGAATTTATTATGTTGAAGAAAATTCCATGTAATTATTATTAAATTAGAAGAGTATTTAGTTGTTAATAAAATTTCAGAATTTGGATCTGAAGAAAATTAAATTGTTTTAAGAATTTTTTGCAATGATAAAGTTAAGTGTTTTTGGATAAAAAATTTTGGGATATCAAGTAAAATGTGATTGTTTTGAAAATTGAATGTAAGTGTGTTAAGAATAGAGTTCCGAAAAAGTATCGAACTGGTATCGAACTGATATCGATTTATAGTAAATTTAATATATACAGTAGGTTGTGACCTACTTATATATTTTTATAATAAATTTAAGTATCGAACTGGTATCGAAGTAGTATCAAAGTGATATCGTTAGGAGCCCTAGTTAAGAAAATCTGATTTGGTTTTTTTTTTTTTTTTTTGTAGGTAAACATTATCACTTTATTAATCATAAAATTGTTTGAAATTTATACATGGAGAAAGTAACAACATCTCTTATATAATTAGCTAGTTAAAAGTCTAATGCTAGCTTGCCTACATGAACTATCTTAGTAGTAAGGAAAATAAATATTAAAACCATTACATATTTGAGATAGTGCTGAACAGCTATGAATACCTACTCAAGGTTATTGATGAGATTATTAAAGTTAGTTATTAAATTTTTGTAGTATAGAGTAGAGTTGTAATTGCTGTTAATGAATTTGTTCGTAACTAAAGATAAAAGATTCACCATTAGCTCACTGTCAGAATTTGACTTAGATCTGGAGATTAATATTTTCTGGTTTGAATTTTTTGGATTGGTGTTGTTATTGTTATTGTTATTATTGATCTTTGATTGGTGAAGGTTCGGGTTCCATTTAATTCCAGTAGTGGAAGATGTGTTTGCTGTATTACACCTTGGTTTTCAAATTAGATTATAAAATAGTATGAGGCTTTCAGAAACTGCTTTGATCCAAGTAATAGTATCTGCTGTGAAATGTATATTGTTGATAAGGCCACACGAAAGCTTGACTACTTGCCAAATGTGGTTTATAGATTTGTTACTTTGGTCTGGATGTAGGATGCTGTTTATATTGTTAATAATTTGAGCTGTATGGTTCTCTGCTTCTATATATTCGAAAACATGTCTGATGTTTTCGATTCTAAGTTCACACCTTAGGCAGAAGTGGTCTGGATACTGCTCTGAATATAGTTGGTTAAGGTAGGCTCACGTTGGAAGTGTTTCTAATAAAAGTTTAATTCTGAATAATATAAGATCACTGTAGAAGTTATTATGTGTACCTCTGATTTGCTTGATGGATTTGGTGAGGAATTCCAGGCCATATAGATTTAAGACTTCTTGAAAGGTTTTGGTTACAGACGAGCTTTCGCAGATCATATAGGTCTTTGTGATTCTCAGAATTTTTTTGAACCAAATGGTGCTATTGCCCAGATTGGTGTTGTTTATTTTGGAGTTCTTGATAAAGTATAATGGAAGAGTATTCCACTGTAAAGTTTCATTTATAACTGGTCTGGATTTGGGTTTGGCTGATTGAAGTCGAACAGATCTTTGAATACTCAAACTGATAATTCTTAAAATTATGGATGCGTGATTGGTTTTGACCATTTTTCTTGGACCATTAGAGACTTATCACAAAATGTCTTGATTGCTTCTGATTTCAATTGTTGATGAGACTGGACACTATTGAATAATATTATAAGTTACCAGAAAAATGTTAGCAATAGCTGTGCCTGAAGTAGAAAGAATAACTTTGGTTTCATTGATAATAATATCATCTTTGAAAGCTTGAATGGAGAAGAAGAGAGAGTAGTTGATCTTGGAAAGTTGGGAAGGGGAGAGAGGATTTGGTGAAAGACAGATGTCTCTTACAATTTTTTCTTGTGCTTGAGAGGTATTGAGAGTTTTTTCAATTAAATTATTAAGACGAAATTTTGGTTGAGAAGAGTTTTGGGTAGATACCCATAAGGATGATGCAGCTGTGGTTGTGAAAATGATAAAACAGAAATTGTTATGACTCGTATCCAAGGGACACCCTTGGCACCTGATAAGATTCTTGAATTGGTCTATTAGATAGTGTTTTCCTTTCAAAGGTAAGTTTTCTCTAAATTTTGTGGCTCTCTTGTAAGTTTTAATAATGATACGACTTGGGTTGACCAGCCAAAACATTGGTCTTGGATTGGGAATAGGTCTGTGCGTACTCTTCAAGGAAGAAGTATTGATGAAGTTTTTGAACCAGTAAGGTTCTGGACCACATCTTATAATCCCTGTGTGCAAAATAATTTGGGATCATGTAAGTTTGATAAAACTATTAAATCTAAGCAGTTGGTTAGTGAATTGAATATTGAGAGCATTTGCTGTGTGGACTGCAATAATTTTGAGATTGCTTTTAAGTGATTTGAATAATAAACCAATAGAATTTATAACATTGTTGTCATGAAATATACAGATTGGAGGACACAGTTGGATCTTGAAGTTTTTTGCTGCATGGGCTGTGCTGAGGAGCCAATTGTCTTGATTGAATTTGTCTGGGTTGTAGAGTAAACAGAACCATATTGATTCTCTCTTTTGTATCGATCTAATATCTTGATGAAGATATTTTCTGATTGACAGAGTGACAAGTTTGGATATTAGGTAAGTTACAAGGGATGATCTTTGTTTTTCTTCAAGCAAAGAGACTTTTAGGCCTCCCTCGCTAACTAGAATAAGGTTGGAGCATCTTGATGATATCTTGTATGAGGACTTGATAAGTTTGTTAATTTTTCTTTATAGGCTGCTGAAGAGGGATTTGTGAAGATGAAAAGTAAGTAAAAAATACTCAAATTTTCCAAGTATGACCCATTCAATAATTTTTTGTTTGATTTTCCCTTTCCAGTTTCGATATGTAAGTTCTTTTAAAATTTTGTTGATTGTTTCTTCAAAGGTTTTTCTATTGAATTTTAGCATGTGGCGTGGAGATATCTAGAAGCCCAGGTATTTTACACTCTCGAAAGGTTTTAAAACTTGAATTGTAAACTTGAATTGTGTGGTTATTAAAGATGATGCTACAGGATATACTGTTTTTGGTTGAAATATTGTTGATTATTTTCTTTTGTCCTTGTTGCATGTTAGTCCATTGATTTGAAAGAATTGATTTGCTGTTTCTAGGAGAATCTCCATCTTGTCTTTGGTATCTGCAATTAATGCCAGGTCATCCATGTATACTAAGGCATTGGGAGTGATATATTTGGTTATTATGGAGA